AGGCGTTGTGTCTCGCAGATAATACAGATAATACAGATTATACAGATAATACATATGAAAAGTATAATTTGCTCAGAGTCCAGAGACAGTGGTGGTTCGGTCCGGATCCGGACCGGAGTCCGGACTTTGAGGATGCCTGCTCTAGAGCTTGCACTGGCATATGATTCGATTGGCTGACGCCTCCGTCGAGGCGGCAAAAATAGAACATTGCTCTACATTTGCAGCGAGCACCGCGAGAGAAGCTACACTTTGCTCCCACAATGCAGTTCGGCGAATCGTGACGTCACCCCATTCAAAGTGAATGGGCAGAAGCGTTGAAGCGGCAACGCACGCCGCCGTGTGCTCTCATGGCGTTTTGTTTTTCATTTGTGCTGTTTCATGTGTCTTAGAGGTAAACAGATGTATGATTTTGACCCAGCTTGACCTCGATGTTTTGAATTGTTTGGAACTTCAAAGTCCTTTGATAATGTCTCTTTAGCAAACAGCCATACATACACTCCTTGAAGTAAATAAAAACACCTGGCTGCAAAGCCAAAGCTTCAAATATGTGTAGTTTGGCTGGATGGTAATTTCATTCCTGTGATACGCAACAAGCAGTAAGATGAAGAGGAGCTTCTCTGTGGGACAAGAGGCCTCATGCAGCCCGTAACTTCAGCTGCAGGACTCATCCTCTGAAACAGAAACACCCTGAGAAGGAGAATCTGGTGTGGATCTGCCTGAACTGTGCTTGAAAGGAGTCAGCACAAGGATAAAACACTTTTTGGCCAAACAGTTTGCCTCCCTGAGGTCCTTAGACAGCTCTTTGGTCTTGCCCATGGTTGAGAGGTTGGAATCTGATTGGTTGATTCTGTGGACAGGGGTCTTTTATACAGGTAACATGTTGATATAAGGAGTACTTTCTCAAAGGAAGAGGACTTGTGTAACCGGTCTGTGGGAGCCAGAATCCTTGTTGGTTGCTAGGGGATCAAATACTTATTTCACACAGTTAAATGCAAATCAATTTTGATCTTTGATATAATGTCAATTTCTGGATTTTCTTTTTGATATTCTGTCTCTCATTAGTCAAATAAACCTACCATTACAATGATAGACTGTTAATTTCTTTGTGGGTAAACTTACAAAGTCAGCAAGGGATCAAACACTTATTTCCTCCACTGTAGCATCTTAGTAAAACTCTTGATGGTTGGCTGTGGCACTCCAATACATACTCATGTGATCATACACTTTTATTGCATGATGTGACTGTTTTTTTTATTGATATTCTCTCTTTTTTGACCACAGGGAAGAGTTTCCAGCAGCAAAGAGAAGCCATGAAACAGACCATAGAAGAAGAAAAGGAGCCGGAGAAGTCTGGTATGTTGCTCTACTATTTGCACTTTAGAGTTCCCTGAAGTAAGCATCACAAAGGGGTCCCTCCACAAAAGCATCCATTTATGATACATAAACAGCAGGATCATCTCCACATATTAACACCATTTCATGCACCATACATGAAATACAATGGGTCTTGTAGCTTAATGTGTGTGTTTTACCTTGTCGTCTCGTTTACAGGGAAGCTGTGGTGTGCGAAGAAGAACAAGAGGAAGAGAAAGAAGCTGCTTTACAACACCCAAAAGAATGATGGTAGGACTTCCTGTCTTTCTGTCACTCTCACACAAGTATCATTTGGTACCAATTTCAAAACATGTGCTTATACACTGCAAGGACTTCCATTGAAAAATCTGCATGAACCGCTAGTGGATGTGAAAGAAAGACAACATTCATGGGAATCACATCTTTATTCTAGAGGAACATTTTCTAAACAGTGTGGTAGTTCTTATTCTAGTGTCATTCATTAGTTCTATATGATCAATAGACTTTAGTTTGATGGAAAGAAAACAGTACATTCTCTAGAGGTCAACAGTGTATATCCAGGAATATTTTGCTTTGCTTATAAAAGAAAGACAAATGAAAGTAGAATTTACATATTTTACACTTTTTCCTGTTCAAAACGTTACCAGTTTGTCTAAATGTAGTACGTTTAAACTACTGTTTTCTGGCTTACATCATGATTAATTTGTGTAATATATGTAATCCCAGTATTTATTTAGTCTTCTTACACTTTTTCCTTTGGACCATATATTTGATTAATTATGTTCTACTCAATTTGCCAGATGTTGACAACGGGGAGATCCTGACCTATGAGGAGATGGCTCTGTACCACCAGCCGGCCAATAGGAAGCGGCCGATTGCACTGATTGGCCCAGGCAGTTGCGGGCAGGCGGAGCTCAGACAAAAACTGCTCAACAGCCAACCGGAGCGCTTCGCTGGAGCCGTGCCCCGTAAGATTACACACACACACACACACACACACACACACACACACACACACACACACACACTCATTCATTTGAAACATGCGTGTGTGTGTGTGTGTGTGTGTGTGTGTGTGTGTGTGTGTGTGTGTGTGTGTGTGTGTGTGTGTGTGTGTGTGTGTGTGTGTGTGTGTGTGTGTGTGTGTGTGTGTGTGTGTGTGTGTGTGTGTGTGTGTGTGTGTCAGACACCACTCGGAGCCGGCGGGAAGGCGAGCTGGGCGGTCGAGATTATCACTTTGTGTCTCGTCAGACGTTTGAGGCAGAACTGTCAGCAGGTAAGCTCTCATGCTAGGGAAGACACACTCTAATAGCATACTGTATATATATATGGGTTATTTAGTATGAAACTCTTTAAATCTTCATGTCTTTTTGGGGATTTCCATTAGCTGCTCTTCCACACAGCGGCGTGCGTTGAAAGCTTCACCATTCACTTTGAATGGGGTGACGTCTCTTTTCGCAGAACTGCATTGTGGGAAGCGAAGTGGAGCTTTGCTGGCGTGGCTTGCTGCAAGTTGAGCATTGTTCAACTTTTGAAGCCTCGGCAGAAGCTTCAGCCAATCGAATCATATGCCAGTACAAACTCTAGCCAATCAAACCGCTGCTTGTGTGTCAGGGGCGGGAGATTCATGTGATTGGTTGTTGGTCGAGTTTCAGACACGCCCGCCGGCAAGCTTCAACGCACGCCGCTGTGTGGACGGGCCGTTACAGTCAGACACACATACTAAAGTTTACACTCATTATCCAAAAATGAAGGATGGAAGAAAAAACTAAAATGATCATTTTAACCATTATTTATTCCTCACAAATGTATAGCACACCTCCACTGCAAATAAAAAGTAATTGATGACAAATATAGGTAATCAACTGAAAAGACCTTCAATTATATATTTATCCAACCTGCACTTGATAGAAGTCAATATCAGAGTTTTCTTCTTCCTTTGACACTGAAGCACAAAATCAGCAAAGGGTAGTCAAGCTAAATGATCTGACTCATTCAGAAGCCTAAATGTAAGAAGATCACCAAATAATGACGAGTCCTCAAAGAAAGGTTTGGGAACAACTGGTGTAAACTGAGCACATGAAGTACTCATTCAATAAACACAAAGTTGCAAGGTGCCAGGGACGCCAGAGAAGGGCAAGGCCTTAATGTGTGCGGGTGTTTAAATTCCTCCACCCCAACTTCCTGTGCACTTCTTCAGGCTCCCACCCAATTTCTCTATCACGACATACTCACAAGCTGGAAATACTAGCACCACTGTGTCCATGGTAACAAGCTTACATAAAAAACTAATAAGAGTAGTGACACTAGAGTTAGCAAGAAAACAGCCAAGGGTTCACATGTTTAAGTGTCATTTTTCAACAAGAATGAATATGAAATGTTACTACATTAAATATATTAGCACATCCATTTGTTTTTTGATTGTTTTCTTTATTATGAAATCAAATGAAGTTAAGTACATTAAAATGAAATCAAACCCAGAAATTATTTATATAAACATTACAAACTCAAATGAACACATTGTACTGCAGAAATGTCAAATGTCATCGTGTGAAAACATATATTACTTGAAGAAATGTGGTAAATAAAATGTTCCTTCTTGTCTTCACAGGAAAGCTGATTGAGTCTGGAGACTTTGAGAAGAACATGTACGGGACGAGTTCTGACTCAGTGAGGCAGGTCATCAACACTGGGAAGATCTGTGTGCTCTGTCTGCACACACAGGTACACACACACACACACACACACACACACACACACACACACACACACACACACACACACACACACACTGATTACACAGGGTGGTGTAGTGATGGTTTTGGTTGAATCCTTGGTGTATGTTGGTGTGTGTGTTTACAGGCTCTAAAGGTCCTGAGGAGTTCAGACTTAAAGCCTTACATCATCTTCATAGCCCCGCCCTCCCAGGAAAGACTCCGCAGCCTATTGGCTAAAGACAACAAAAACCCAAAGGTGCTTGTCTGACTGTTTACACTTCCTGTTTACACTCAGTCAACACACATATCCCCAGTGTTCATGTGTGTGTGTGTGTGTGTGTGTGTGTGTGTGTGTGTGTGTGTGTGTGTGTGTGTGTTGCAGCCCGAGGAGCTGCGGGACATCATTGAAAAGGCGCGAGAGATGGAGCAGAGCTGCGGACATCTGTTCGACGCCGTCATCGTCAACACGGACCAGGACAAAGCCTTCAACGAGCTGCTGAGACTCGTCAACAAACTGGACACTGAGCCACAGTGGGTGCCCTGCTCCTGGCTGCGCTGAGAACACACACACACACACACGTTATAAAGTGACAATGGAGTACACTTTGATACATTCAACAAACTGGAACCTTAAGCGCTGTGTGGGAGTTACACAGAGTGTCTGTTAAGGGAAACTAATCTGAGATTTTGAGAGTTTCAATGTTATGAGAAAACATATCAGTGGTGGAGAGTCCTAAAACCTAGAAATGAGTTATCATTATAGAACTTCTTCTTGACTCATCTCAAAGCTTTTTGAACATGTTTTGGATAGATGTCTGATTTAAGGTCTGTGGTTACCACGAGCTGAATATATTTTCACGTTTTGTCCTACGACAAAAAATACCTCAGTAAACACTCAATTTCAAAACGGCGGTTACTAACAAATGTCTAAATGAGACGACTAAATGTCATCACACCCAACATTAGCTGCCTTTATCTTAGCGGTGTTGATGTGAAGTCATGTGACCGTGATGTGGTTTTATAGTGTAGCGTTAGCTTTTGAGTTCAGAAGATTGAAAACATTACGAGTAAAACGTTATAAAAGTGGTGTTAAAATGTGGAGATTATCCAGCTGAACTAAAAGTGTAAGTATCCTAAAGGTGTTACTGCCACAGATCTTACTTTCTGCAAGTTTCCGAAATCAAATAAAACAAATCCCATTGATTTTTGTCATGGGAACCGGTGCGCTTCCTACAAAGATGCAAAAACTTTATAGCCTCAGTTCATCTAAATCTCCTCATTACACACATAAAAGCTAATATCTGGAATATTTCTTTTAAATCTACGACTTCATTATATTGCCTTATTTCTAGCATTTTTTTTTAGATAAGCTTTTATATAACAATACTTACTTCTCAAAATGTTCTATTCAAATCTGGTTTATACCGTATTGCCAAAAACTACAACAAAAAAATGAGAACTACTTTAAGCCTTCTATCAATATATATATAAGGATTTAAAATGTTAGGATTTTACATTGTATACATATATTATATTATTATCAATTTCAACTTTAATCTCATAACATAATGACTTTTAAAAAATTCAAATCTCAGATTAGAGTTTGTCTTCGCATTGATTCTGATGACGCTAAATAGCACACAGTCAGCATCCTGTAGAATGTATTAACCAGGCACTGATGATAATACTTCATGCTATATAAACCTTATGTGTATTCACTGTCCTTAAAGGGAGAGACCCTCACTGGGGTCTCGCACACACTCATCTTCTAATCATCACACTGTAGTGAGACCAAAACATGGACCTGGATAATCCTTTCTTCTTGTTTTATTTTAAGAGAGGAATGTGGGGCCTCATCAAAGTTGCATTCTTTTGTCTTGTGACCATTTCAACCATAATAATTCAACATATTTAAACTATAACAATCCACTTATTTAAACTTTTTGCAGAGCTTAGAATATATGAAATTAAAATCAAATCAATCTTCTTATTTTCTTATTACGGTCAAATAAATGAGGCCCCTGGTGAGCAATAAATGTGACACTAATTGAAATCCCTGAGCCACGGCATTCACTGCTATTAGGAACACACACTCACACACACTCTGTATGAAGCAGTGTATGGAGTCCACTGACTGACTGACTGACTGTTGAACAGACGGCTCTTCACGATTTCCAATGAACACTGAGATAAACGACACAGCACTTGATATTTTCTCTTTCTCTTGTTTCTGACTGACTGTCCCGTCTGATCACATTAAGTAGAGATGACCTCTGACCCTGAGCTGCTGGGTTAAGAAACCGTGAACGTTTTAGTCTTTAGCTGGCACATGATGCTGAATTTATGATATATTTTGTGTGTGCGTGTGAACGAATGTGTGTCTCAAATGTGATGGCCTGACAAAGTATCACTGTTATCACTGGGTAGAGCATTTATATATTTGTTATATTGAAGATAGGTTTATGAAGTCAAGAATGCACCAATAGGATCGCAGGTTCCACCTTTCGCCATTCGTTAAGGAGGACGAGGGGGCGGGGCTTCACTGTATTGAATGTAACGTGAATGGACACTACTTCCTGTTATCAGAAATCCCTTCTCCTGAGTAAATCTGTATGAATATTCACAATGAATAAATAAATAGATGATTGATGAAAAATTACTCGCCTTGTGTTTTTTGTTTAAAATTACACTTTTTTCCCTTAAAGTTTCTCTCCCACACTCCCCAATTTATTCCACAGTAGCACTCATTTACGTGGTACTAAAACATAACTACCAGTTACTCGGTACTATCCACAATTGTTCTTTATAGAACACCAACACACAGCGAGTGGAGTTGAATAGAGCCATCCCTTACCATTCAGTTGAAACATTACACCATAAATGAGTCTGGAAGAGGATTAGGGCTAAAGAATGTTGACAGCTGACCAAAAGTGATTTGATTTTATGAGATTTAGATCAGAATTCTGAGATTAAAGTCAGAAATCTAACTTTTCTCTCAAAATTCAGAGATTTTCAGAAAATTTAGAAATATTGTATTCTCTGAATCCTGAGCTTAATCTAAGAACAAAAACAATTCAGAACGTTTTCCTCGATTTCAACATTGTTTCAAATATGCCCCTAATCCTCTGTGTTACACTGATACTGAGGAGGATTTTCTGCTATGCTTTGTAGTAACGTGAGAGAGCCACATGGCGGCGCTGTTCTGCAGGTTATTGTTGCCATGTGCCATGCTTCAGTTTACTTTCTCAGATCTACCACTTCACTTTTTACTTTAGTCCAAATATAGCTGCTCCTTTGATTTAGCAACATGTGTGTTTGCTGCATGTTTGGTCTGGTTCTGAACAGGAAGTTGCTAAACTGCTTCTTTCCTGTCTGATCATGCCAAATCAAAGACTGGCTGATTTCCCCTTTAGCCTCACCTTGATGCACCCTTCTTTCCTTCACAGCCGTACTGCTGACTGCACTGAGATCAGCAGCAAAAGCATCTTACTCCACTTACACAGTACATTCTTCTCTCTGTAAACTACAATGGCAAGAGGATCACGTTTAAATGTTTAGCTTTTGGTTGCTTTATAAAAAGTTAAAGACTTTATAGAAATTACATTTATCACATAGAAATCAATTGTTGTCAGTGACTATACGTTACATTTTGCTCTAAGGGAAGTCCCCTAAGGCTAAAAGACCTGGAAGTGGTCCTACAGTAATCCTTCATTTTATTTTCATTCTATGAATCCCTTCCCAGTCTGCTCCGATTGGTCAACTGCTTAGAGAGCCCCTTAGTTTATCATCTACAATTTGTAGGAACCTAACCAATAAAAGCTTACATTGTGATGTCACTATGTTACTAGTAAGCAAAGGAGTGTGGGGGAGAGAAACCCCCTCTGGTGGAAACAAAGGGATTTTAGCCGTTACAGACCATTTACATGCACTAAAACCTATAGAACACTACAAGAGAGGGAAACCCCCCAAAAGCATAATAGACCCCCTTGAAGTTAACTTTGTATAAACTCGCCTTTAATATTTATACTACACAGATGCCATCTCTTTCTTTCTGCATTGTAATTTCACTCTGATCCTCAATCACTTCTAATCTTATTTTGTGCACAGGCTAAAACATCTCCAAAATATGATATCTTAATTCTGAGTCCTCTATTCCTTTTAACCAAAGGATAATAGGGAACAAAGAAAACATAGTCAATCTTATTACTAGTGCTTTCATTATAGCAAAACCAGTGTAGCTCAATATATTGCTTTTGGAAAATAGTCCACTGATTTCAGGGTACCAAAAAAAAAGTTTTCTATTTCAGGATCTTCTTCATGATGTTAATTATCGTATTGCTTATGTGCTCTTTTGCTCGCGACAGAAGGCGGTGACGTAAGACTGAGAATAAAAAATGAAAATGCGCAGTAATTGGCTGATTTACCAAATAGGGGCGGGGACTACATTTTTGCAGCAGCCGATTGGTCTATAGTGTTGTCATTCATCCCTTTCGTTCCTTTTGTCGCACTCTCAGGTTGATGGAGAGAAAGGAGGTATAGAGCGATAGAGGGACGTGGTGGAGATGTAACAAACAACGGAAATAACTATTTAAACGTTTTATGTTTATCTATCGTGTATTTAAGTTTTCTCCACTTTCTTTACTGTACTTAACTTATTTCACGGCCGTTTTTGTCGATTTACGTTCCGAGTCGTGTATCCTTGGCAACGCGAACTACTGTCCCGAGAAGTTTGGATCAAGTGTTACACCTTCAACCGGAAAATAAACTGGATCTTTACCCGCCGAACTAACAGAACTGACTCCGGTGTGCATATGGAAGCATTTCAAACAGTTTGGATTCAAATTCAACGTATTTCATTTTAAACCCAGTGTTTTGGGAAACAGGACAGCGCGAGACAATAGTGGCGAGGGAGGGAGCTCGTGCAGGGGGGAATCGATGCCTCGCGGGGGCTTTGTTCTACCGCGAGCCTTCTGCTGAGACCGACTGATGGCCGCTGGATTTATGAATATTTACTGATTAATTAACGGAGTGAAAAGCCTTTGGAACAACATGGACGTGACTCTGTCCGAGTTACTGTCCACTTTCATGGAGTCTCCGCTGGTGGTGTGGGTGAGTGGGAGCAGCACACACAAACACTTGCTGACTCTTTTTAACTTTCTCTGATCTCTTTCTCTCAGTTCGGCTACATTTCTTTAAAACTACAACTGTTGTAGAAACACAACTTTTCCCTCCATTTGACCATGCTGCAGGAGCTTGCATTATTAACCCATTGAGAGACACTGTTCTGACCGGTACATTACAGTACCAGGGAAAGTACTTTCGGAGTCAAAACAGAATCATTACATGTTGTTTTTCCTCACTGGTTACAGATGCTGTTTCTTTGTCCTTCTATCATATTTGCCCAAATAATGATGTTCTAGAGCTTCTCCCATAGTCGGCATGTCCAAGTCTGATACTGTCAAAATATGAATCAGAGCAAACATTACTGCAGCTAATTGAAGAAAACTAGCATAGCTTCAAACTGGGACTGAGCTATCCATTGCTCAAAACGAATGGAAACTCTGAGTACCCCAGAGTAATGTAGCAACAGTTAACCGAAATGTGTCACTTTTTATGGATATATTCATTTACATGCAGAGAAACTCCCTCTGGAGGGAACACAGGGATTTGATCCTTTGCAGAGCATTTACATGCACACAAACCTATAGAACACACTGCAGGGAAGGGAGACCCCAACAAGCATAATAGGGCCTCTTCTAATGTGAAGTTAACAGCATTTCACTTTCAGTATAGCTCTTAAAGAAGGGTTCCCACTTTGAACACAATGTTGATGCTCTGTTGGCGCCCCTTCAATTGTTCTTTGCAAGAATGCATTCAAATGTTAAAATGAAGCTCATCGTAAGACAAATAAGTGTATTTTTAGTGCCAAATATCCGCCTCCTCTCACTACTGCTCTGCAACTCGGCACTCCAGCGTAAGGAGGCATGTTCATACTTCAACAGACTCTGGAAGACACTCAGTTAAATGAACAAGTTCTTATCATGACCCTGGCTCCAAAATGGAGGAAGAATATTGATATCACGGCTGCAGAAAGTCTACCCATCTCCTGTTGCATACTTGAAAGTGAAACCCACCTGTTTCTTGGCCAGTTTAAAACCCCCCAAAAAACCTTTTCTCTTCTGTATGTAGCACTAAGACATGCTTGGCCTATTTGGAGCTGATGTCCTTGCAGGATTCTTGCTTCTGCGTGTTTGTTCCTTCTTGGTTGAATGCACTTAATGCAAGAGCCTCAGCCGAATGTAACAGCTATTGTAATGATCTGGAAACTCAGTATTTGGTATGATGTCATCAAGCATTTCAAGTCAAAAGGGAAACATTGAAAAGATGTGTGGTATAGTAACTTATTTCTGTGTGTGTAGGTGCGGACGCTGGGCCCTCTGGGTTCCTGTGAAGCCGCGGGCTCAGAGGAGCAGGTGAACATGTTCATGGAGCTGGTGGACGGCGTCTTCCTGCACAAGATCATGACACACATGTAAGTAACCCCACATTGAGGGGTCCACATTTTATTTGCATGAGACAGTGAAAGAAGTTATTTGATGTGTATCTGGTGTGTGTGTGTGTGTGTGTGTGTGGTGTGTGTGTTTGTGTTTGTGTGTGTGTGGTGTGTGAGAGGCATTAGACAGATGCAAACACAACTCACCACATCCTGACTCGCTGGTTTCAGGCTGTAAATGTCACAGCCAGATGTGCTGCTGAAGTCTGCATAAAAAACAGCACATTATAAGAGAGAGTCTAGTTAGATCATTAACAGTGCCTTTAGAACTGACCCGCTGTCAGTTTGTACTTTGACTCAGGAAGTGCAGTAGCAGACAGGTAGTACACCGACGCAGTGTGCTGTAACAAATCTCAACGTGGACATGCTTGCACGCACCGTTTTCAAGTAATGCTTATAATTATCTGTGCATCTTGCACAGTGACAACATCTGTTCACTGACAGACTGACAGAAATATTTATATAGTATCCACATTGCAATGTTTTCTGAGCGGCGGCAGCTTTTTTCAATAGATTCCAACGAGAACAGAAAAGTGCTGCACCCAACTTATTTTTTCTGAGCGCTCTGCCATTTTTGTTTGGTCACTCCAAGTGTTTTGAGTGAAAATCTTCAAATGTACCTGAAGCACCTAGAGAAGCTTGTTTTTGACTAACCTCATATTGAAACTATCATATTAAAGATCTGAAATTTGATTTGTTGGAGCAGGTTCGACAGGTGGACCATCGATTTTGCTGCCGACTTTTATCTTGTCTTACTTCCTGTTATTTGCAATAGTGAAAAAACAATGTCAAACAAATATATAGTAGCACAAACGGATGATCAAATCCAAGGGGATGAAGCTAGCCTGTCACACAAAAGCGGTTAGGATATGGATATGCTATCAAGATATTGTTATATAGAAATATCTTGACAGCCTGTTGTATGATATACTGGGATCGCCCCTTGCCTTAATTCTGTTGAACTATGTATGAATGAGCTGTACCGCTAATTCTGACAGCTGTAGTGCATGGAGAACAATCTGTGCACGGAGACAACACAACACTCACCGACAGCTGAGTCCAGTGTCTGCTCAAACAAACATGCTTTTCACTGTTTGTTATTGGACAGTTTACGTCTGGAAAACACATTTTTCCTCCAGTTTCTACTTCGATGAGGAGGCTAGTTTTCTACAATTACAATGGCAGTGCGCTCAGAAGAATGATGCTGGGTTCAGCTCTATTCTTTGAGGAGGAACAGCATAAGCTCTGTCCTCATTGGGAACAATTCAAAAAGAATCTGGTGGTTAGAAAAATGTGATATATTATGGTCAGAAGCCCTGAACAGCAGAACCGTTGACATTTTGCCATGATGACACATAAGTACATATGGTAAATGATAAATAAATTCATTTATAAGCGCTTAATTCAGTCTTTACTACTCCTTAAATTGCATTTACATATACAAGTCAGCATCCATATCCATGCATACAGAGGCAGGGCTACCATGCCTCCTGTTCAAGGAAGCTAACATTCATTAGGTAACATTAAGTATCTTGCCCATCACAAGCTGAAAAATCTTTGCGTTTCTGTCAAGGCTGACAAATATTATTTTCCTTTCATTCTTTATAAATTGGAGCGACACATTTGGGCACTAAATCTGTCCCGACTGATAATAACGGCACATACCTACTTGTGTGGAATCTAAATCTCCTCCCACCAGACGGCCCTCTGTCCCCAATCACCCCACATGTTCATATATCAGTTATTGTCTTCGGAAACAATGATAATCACCCTATTGTTCTCCTGGCAATGAATGTAGGCTGGGGGGGGGGGGTCATTAGGACTGTCGGGGGGGTTTATTGGAAAGTGGGTTACGGGCGAGGAGGCAAGGGTGGAGAGCCAGAAGGAATAATAAAGGAAGCCAGCCAGAGAAGCAGTACGCTGTCTGAACTATCTTCATTCTGAGTCACACTGAAACAGGCTGAAGTGTTAGTCAACATAGTGTAACTGAAATGAGGGGAGCTGGCATCTGAAATGGATGTGCTGAAATACTTAAATGTGTAATTTGAGTACAATGAATAAGCTTTTGATGACCTTAAAGTGCAAAGTCGAGTTGAAGTATCTGAAGTGCTGTTCAAACTGTGTAAGTGAAAGTCAAGTAAGAACTTACTCTAACTTAAAGTCAAAGATTGATGTTTTGGCTGAAGTAGAGCTGGAATACACTGTGTATTTCAATGTGTGTGGAATTGTGATTATGTTTTTGTACAAATGTGAAACGCTAAGACCTGAAAGGGCAAGTGATATTTAAAGTGTGAGCTCTGATATGGTTCAAGGATCCATTTTAATACAAGTGCAGAGTGATGTTGAAGTGCTGTTTCCTTACATTTCTGTCTTAACCACTGAACCAGATGAAACCTGGCAAATAATAAAAGCCGAGCTCATTCAAAGGAGAATAGATGAAACCATGTGACATGTCAGTCTGTAACCCTATTATTGTTCAGTTACTGTTTTAATAAACCTATTAGTAGATGAAGTATTTTCTTTAGCTTCGTTTCAGTACAGTACATTTTCCAGGAGCTCAGATGGTAAGGATCACTTCTGAATGCAAAATGGACGTTTGTTTTCCAGCCTCTGTGTTCTTATTATCATCCCCATGAGGCAGCAGACTGACTCCATGACAGTAGGTCAGCCAGACAGCGTCACCCCCCCGTTCAAATGCAAATCAGTCTGGCCCAGGCTGGCGTGTGTCGGGCATAAATCCGAATCCAACACAATAGTAACCCTGCATTTGGGACCTGTGTGCGTATGTGTGTGTAATATGATCTTTGTCTTAAGTAGCACCAATTTACGTCAATCTAAGTGCTCCTGTAATGCGTTTGTGTCTCCATAGTGACCCCAGCCCCACCAATCAGAGACTGACCAAGAATGTGAACAATGACGTGTCACTTCGCCTCTACAACCTGACCGTTCTCACCAGACACATCAAGACGTACTACCAGGTATGCTAACACAAGAGCTCACAAACTACGGCAACACTTATAGGTTCTTTGTAACCAAACATCTCTCAGAGGGGCGTGGGGAGGGGCTCCTTATTTTCATCTAAAGTAACAGACAGAGAATCAGCACTTTGGAAACAGGGCTGAAACAGAGGGGATTATGGGATGCTGCAATGATCTGTTTGGTGTTTCAGCCAATCACTTCAGAGACAGGTTTTGTATTTATCTGAGACCTATAATATATTGATGAAAAACAGTATAATAGGGGATCTTTAAAGCAAACACACATTTATGATACTTACCTACTCTTTTGTTTAATGGGTGGATCTCCACATATAATCAACACTTTCAGATTTTAAGCGTCTATGCAACCGCCAGAAGTACAAATCTAATGTTAGGCTTTAAAAGAACCACATCACCACCAACGCTAAGCTAAAGGTAGCTAATGTTTGCCGTGGTGACCTTTGGTAGTCTCATTTAGTTACTTGTTAGCAACCTCGACTTTAAGAAACATAGAAGCTTCAGACTCACTTATGGGGTATTTAACCTATTTTAATATTATTATAATTTATCAGACGTATTTGTTCGAGAACAAAATGCGAACATATTTTCAGCTTGTTCGCATTTCAGACATTCCTTTTAGGCATCTAACCAAAAACCCATAAAAAAAATTTGTTAAATTGAGAAGTGCTTAAATGCTAACTCATTTCCAGGTTTTAGGACTCATTCCTGCATCACTCCATATGCTGTCATTTGAGAATATTTAATGTTGTATTTTCTTCACTGGCATGTATGGATATTGCTTGCTCTTTACTCAGTCTCCGTCTGCCTCTTTCTGTTTCGACGGGGGCTCAAGTATATATGTGTGTGTGTGTGTGTGTGTGTGTGTCGTCTCTTAAACATAATTATTGTCATGTGTGTGTATTCTGATGTGATGGAGGTTAAGAATATGGACGGGCCCTGCAGACACGCATTCACAAACATTCCTGAACCACATAGTGTTTTTCAGATGGAACACATCAGTATGGATCTAACTCTAACCAACTGCCCAATAATTTTCTAGTCCACTTGCTTGACCACCAATAATCAGATCAATACATGCAGGAAAACACACAGTGTGCCCTGCAAAAGTCATGCTCAGTGGGAAGTGCTTTGATATAACAAATTGATAAAAACGCTTTACTGCTATACTTTTTCTTTCCTTGTCCAAAAATGTTCAATTTCCTGTTTGCTATAGGTCTGTATGTTGCATCTTTACAAAGGAATGCTTTGTTCACCTTAGCTTTACGCAGCGTCCACACGGCGGCGTGCGTTGAAGCCAGTGGGCGTGTCTGAAACTCGACCAACAACCAATCACTTGAATCTCCCGCCCCGGACACACAAGCACGCGGTTTGATTGGCTAGAGCTTGTACTGGCATATGATTCGATTGGCTGACGCTTCCGTCGAAGCTTCAAAAGTAGAACTTTTCTCAATTTTTGAAGCGAGCAACGCGAGCTAAGCGAAGCAACGGAACCACAATGCAGTTCGGCAAAGCATGACGTCATCCCATTCAAAGTGAATGGGGAGAAGTGCTGAAGCTTTAGCGCACGCCGCCGTGTGGACGGGCCGTTATGGTGAGAACAGTCAAATTCATTCTAATACTAGATTTGATTGCAATGGAAAAAAAGAGTCCTAAGAAACGATAAGATTTGGGGGAAGTATGACCAAACTTCCATCCCATATTTTCCCCATTTCAACTGATTGAGCACAGGATAGATTAGAGCGGTTCCCAACTTGCAGGCTGCGGCCCCCTAGTGGTCCGCGGAGGCATTGCAAGTGGGCCGTCAAATAATTTTATTATTATTATTAATTTTTTGTACTGGCTAAAGACTCAAACATTGACATAACAATAAGATATAGGAGATGACATTCCCATCTCAGACAACAACAGAAGAAATAAAGATAGTCAGTCAGTGAAGTCAGTCACTTCAACATTTCACAAACTAAAATAGGTCGTAATACCACCCAAAAAACAACAATGGCATATTTATTGTTCCTTTAATCCCACTCCTCGTTAGAGCTCATTATTTCCCATTTCATGGCGTGTTGAGCCACCCTTTGATTTTTTTGTAGCAATAATAATTGTATTTTTAATCTACTCCTCAAACACCTTAAATTAAGATGACTCTTTGATTGACTTTAAAAAATATGTATTTAAGCCAGAAGAATAATTGTATTTATTAACTGTGTGGTCTTCATCTAAAAGCCCAAATAAAAATATTAAAGGGTGTATATGTAAATTCAATATTTGCCCCCAAATAATTAGCAAAATATTATGATCTTTGTGGAAGCATTTTCATTATTAAGATTTATTTTTATTTTAACCTCTTTTCCTTTCTCTTTCTTGATCCTCCTCAGCAACGGTCATTATAGTCCTTGACAGCGGTCTGTTCTACTGGATTAACAATGTGTCACATGTTCTGAATGGACCAATCAGAACTTTATTTAGCCTCCGTATTGTATATGGTTGAATGTGGGCCGCAAACATTTGATTCTTAAGTGGGCCCTGAGTTGAAAAAGGTTGGGAAGCACTGCATTAGATTACAAAACAGGCATAAAACAACAAATGTCTCTGTTGACTTGAATGAGAGGTTACCGAGACCCCAGGAAAACTTTGAGAATCCAGAAAGTTTTCCCGTATAATATCATAGTAGCTTACTATTTAAAGTATCATCTAATCATGTTTTCCCCCCAATAAATCCAATAGCTGTAGTGAGATAACTTCAACAGACCATTTGTGGTGTTACATGTTACTTAACGTAACATTGTAGTTGTCCTAGAGCCATGGGAAAGTTTATATAATCCAGAAAAGATTTCTATATTGTATCTTAGTACACTCCCATCACTGTGTGGGGTTGGAGAGAGGAAGTGTGTTTTGGTCAACAGGACATGACTGCACGCTGTGTGCATGCACAACACAAGCACAGGATTTATGCCTCTGAACAAGGAGCTGTGATTTGCTTCATCCTAAATGTTTACAAAAAATGTCAAACCAGGGTTAAATCTGTAGTTCAGTTTAAGGTGGGGTAGGTAATTTTGGAGAAACCAGCTCGAGTGCGCTAGAATTTGAAAATACACAACCGGAAAAAATCTGCCACTTCCTTACAGAGCCCCTCTTCCAACACACACGAACGCACACATGACCAATGAGGGCACGAGATAAGTTTGTGCACAGATGGAAGGCTGACAGGCAGGTAGGCCATCCAGTTATTTTAGCCGGGCCGGCTAAAATGATTGCTCGTGCTTTTTACAGTACTACGGCTTCCACAGATAAATTCTTTTATGGATTTTTTGTCAAAGCATTTAATATATTCATTGCTATCGGGATGTTAAGAGCCTTCCATGGAATATAACAAAAAGTGTTTCTCAAATAAATTACATACCCCACCTTTTAAGGTGAGGGTGCGTTTGTTTTAGGCAAGGCAAGTTTATTTTTATAGTACCTTTCAACACAATGCAATTCAAAGTGCTTTACAAAAAAAAGCGTCGGACAAAGCTGACTGCAATGACTAACCAGCATCTTTTTATTATTATTTTGACGCTCCTCCAGAAAACCTTTTTTCGTCCCACAAAGGGGAAACGTACATTGTTACAGCAAGTAAAGGGCCAAAGGTAGCTTAAATAATTAAGAAGCATGCATACAAAATATTTTTAAAAAAGT